TAGTATCTCGCGCGCACGAGATAAAAAATAAACACATGTCACCTTTGTGCCACCGTACTCAGGTGCTCTTCTGTGCATTATTTCAGGCATGGACCTGCACCTGAATAGAACCACCGACGTTATGTTAGTTAGCTGGATAGCTTCCTCACAATATCTCCATGAGTATTTCATAAAAATCCGATAGAGGAAAGTCAGAAGGGTAGAAATACGCTTCGATTTTCTTTTTTTCTTTAAAAAGCTTTGAACTTTATAAAAATGTTGGAAAAGATGAAACCCCACCCTGTGAGTGGCTTACTAACGAGTTCTAAAAATCATATGAGGCTTATAGTGCACTTTTGGATCACATATATTTTTTACCGATGCTCAATTTTGAGATTCATAATTATGTAGTTCACGTTTTTACATGTACGATTAGCTCAACAGGGAGATCAATTAGAAGATTATTTTTTTTATCCAGGGACACTGTTTTGATCCTCGGGCAAGGCGGAACTTCTCCGTGACAATTGATCCCTGTAGCCAAATGTCTCTCATCGCTGATTCAGACATCAGTCGATCACTTGCGGAGAAATTGGTAATTACTGGTTAATTATCCAGGAAAACAAGTGAGGTGAACCGACGACCGGGATGTGACCAATATTGTGTTAAATTTGGCGTAAAAAACAAAGCTGCTAGTCGAATAATTTGAAGTGGCATTCATTCATATAGTTTTTTAATATTGCTAATGTTTGCCCAGAACAATGTTAATAGAAAACGGAATTGCCAAATGGAAGAAAAGTCGAAATACGCAATTGGAACATCTTATCCGCAGTTTGATGGAAATGGCCGGGAATTTGCAATGAAGAGGTTTTTTTGTTGTTTATTGTTGTTGTTGTTTTACAGAAACTCATCCTTGGGATTTTGTTGTTTTTTTTACTTCTTTCATCAAAACAGATAATCTGACCCAACAAAAACATCACGATTTCGTTTTTGCTGAATATAACTATTGAGCAATATAAAATGATTTCCATTATCACGTAACGTGAGGGAAACGCAACAACCCTTATCAATAAATTCATCGTGTGTTATATTTTCTCTTTTAAACCAAGCTTTTGTTTAGTTAGCAAAAACCTTTACCACTATCATTTTATCATTATAAATGATCTCTCTTTGTTTCCGTGCTTTTAAAATAAATGAATCTGGCTTAAATACTAATGTAGCATTGTGCAAACATATCATCATAATATCCTAGAGGGATATCATTTTAATTGCAGTCTATTTGGTGTATCGACCGTCACTGATTGATAGGATTGACTTGTTACAGATATTATCGCTGTATCAATTTTTTATTAAGTAATTTGGTATTAATTAAATATGAGGGATTTACACAAAATCATTTCGCATTTTCTCAAATGCCTGAAGAAGAAAAAACTTTGGCTATTTGGTCAGTCACAGTTTCTTTAACATTGACTTGTAATTATTTCACTTGGAAATATGTTAGTTTATCTGTGGACAATTCTAACTTCTGCAATTTAATATAAAACCATTATTTCACACCTTATATAATATAACCAATGCACTTTCAGCATTTTCACCACGACGTGATAATCCGATAAGAATCATTATTGGACCCAATGTTACCAATTAGTTTCGTTTCCATTTACGGAGTCCAAAAAAGTTCATATCAAATATAAACCATACCACTTATATAGCCTCTTTTTCATGTCCAGAATTTTAAATTCATGTCACACACAATACAGTCTCATTTTCATTTGCAGAGATTAAAAGGTTATTATCAAATCCATATTGCACCCCATCTAGCCTCGTTTTCATTTTTGAGGGTCCAAAATTCATATTAAATCCTTGGTGTAACTAAGTTCTGTCAAAATCTCAGAAATGGTGGTTTGAATGAAATAAAAAGTGAAAACAATACTGATCCTATTGTACTCGTACACGGCGCCTCGTCCAATATAGTTTAACAGATGTGTACTCGTCCAACAGAATTCAGTATTGTACTAAAGAATGTACAATAACTTCATAATATACACCCTATCCAAGAGGGAACCTGTCGCCATAATTATATGAGATAAATGTGTGTTACTCACTTTTGATGTTCAGTGTCAAGACAAGAGTGACTAATACAATGTACTTTTTAACCGATTGTGTATGACACGGCCAGCTTACACCCTCCAACTCCCTCTCCATCGACTTAACACAAATTTTAATATCATATAACATTTATCATTGATAAAATGAGCAAACAGTGAGGTGCGACAATCCCTTTTTAAAATATTTAAGGATGTGTTTGCGCATGCTCGTAAAACGGCGGACATAAAATTTTGAATCTTATGAATTTTCCAAGGAATAGTTAATAAAGTGCATTTTCAATAATAAATAGGCAATGAAAGCCATGTTTTCTCTTGCTTCATTATTTGATATTGTATCGTTGACTGTATCGGAAAAAAATTAAGTTGTTTGATTCCATGATTGCTTCTATTATGAACTATGGGTGTGAAATATGGGGATTTCATAAGGCCCCGGATATAGAACGGCTGCATATGAAATTCATGAAACAAATATTGCAAGTAAGACAACAAACACCCAATGCTACAATATACGGGGAATTAGGTAGATTCCCTATGATTATTATACGTAAGATAAGAATTATCCGATACTTGTATAAAATTACGAAAAGTCCAGATTCAATTATGTACAAATTATTTAATATGCGTGATAGACATGGCAATCATATATGTATGTGGTCGAAAAATGTTAAAAAAATATTAGATGATACTGGATTTACATATCTATGGAATAATGTCTCTTTGTCTAATGTGCAAATTCAAAATGTAATACAACGCATATATGACCAATATTTACAACAATGGTTTTCTGATCTTAGAACTCAACCTAAACTTGAAACGTATTGTTTACTGAAAACAGATTTTGAACCAGAAAAATATATTTCTTGTGTTAAGAAGGAAAATCATAGAATTAGTTTGACCAGATTTAGATGCTCTGCACATAACTTACTTATAGAAGAAGGAAGACATAGAAATATAGAAAGAAACCTTAGAATTTGTACCAAATGTAATATGAATGTCATTGAAAATGAATATCACTTCCTCTTAGTTTGTCCGTTTTATCGAGAATTACGTATCAAATGTTTGCCAAATTATTATTGTCATTGGCCTAATTTATTCAAGTTTAAAAATCTTCTTAACAGTTCTCAAAGTAGTACTATTATCAAGCTAGCTAAATATATATACCAATCATTTTCTTTAAGAGGATGATTATAAATAATTTATGTATTGTGTAACCTGTGTTGTAATGTCATAAATAATTTATATGTTTATGTTCAAAGTATATAATTGTTATTATCATGCTTTTCTCATGTTCAAAATATGTATTGTTTTGTATTGTGCCGCCAGAATACTATATGTATTGGCGATAAACATTGTATATATGTTAAAGCCAAATAAACATTGAATTGAATTGAATTGATGATTATTTAAAGATAAACAAAATAATTATATACTCCTAATTTAATTGAAAATCTTATTTTTGTGTTATTTTTTGTTTCCGAATTTGAATTCAAATCGTTTAAAAGCTTTCATTATGGGGCCATTCTTTCACGATCAAATAATTATTCTGGAAAAACGGGAGTGATCAAATTATGTGGAATTTTTCAGCACGTACATGTACATCTACATCAAATAGTACACAAATCTCGAAACACAATCTCCAGTTCCGTCTCAAATGTTTGGAGTTCCTTCAAATATAACATCGGGAGCAGTATTTTAATTTTTACGGCAAATATTATTCAAGTTTGAACAACCCTCTTTACATTCGCGATATCTATAAAAGTGTTTGCGAGCCTTTGCATTTCTCTTTTACTGGATGTTTTCGGATGATGTTCTGGAAAACTAAAAGTTACAAAATGAATACGGGGATATTGTTTGGTAGCAGAGCTACAAAATTTTCAGGAGGTACATGTTCTTTAGAATCTTCATTCACACTACTGTTACAAACTGTAATATTCTGACTTGCAGTTTTTTTTCTCTTTTCGACGCATCGTAATTAAATATAGTATTTACTATAGAACACATAAAATTCGCAATGTCATAAATTCGTGTTTTTGTCAAAAATGTACTTTCCTTTAATCACACATTATGAATCCGCGTCGTTTCGATGCATTGTTTTTTACGATGTAATCTGTACTGTAGAACAATTTAAATTCGCGTTTTCATAATTTCGCATTTTTGTGTCCAAAATGTGTCTTTTTTTATTCGCGTATCCATGATTCCGCGTCATCATTATATTCAAAATTAAAAATGCCGCTGAAAAAAATTTTTATTTGCAATTTCGGTGTAACTTATTTATTCATGATGGCTATGAAATAATTGTGAATATTAGCAAAAATAATCTAACCCGAATAAAACCAGTTAAACAGTATTTCAAGAAGAGATAATTCTATCCAATTATTAGGAATTGTAATCTAAATTCCCATCTATTAAATTCATCTTCATTATTTTGATTTCATTGCAGAATTGTTTAACCCCGAAGATTTAACGTACATTCTAACACGATTCTTACAAATGCATATAGATGCCCTTAAAGGGACTCCACTAAGTTGTTGTTTTTGTTGTTGTTTATGAACATGACGAGACTGTAAATAATTTTTCGAGATGAACATTTGATGTAGGTCTAGACCAATAACTTATGTGCAAAATTTCAGATCATTCGCTCACTCTGATTTTCAAGAATAAATATTTTAATAAAGTTGGGCTAAGAATAACATAAAAATACAATTTTTAATTGTTATTCCAAGTATATTTCTTAATTATCTTTCAGTTTTTAACTGTCCCAGATGAACAATGTAAAAGAAATCAAAATTTATGTTTAAGGCTTTTGGACCTCAATGGAGTTCCTTTAAAAATGTTAAAAATGAATTTAACATCCTTTATATGTCGTCTCTACAAGCTTTGTTGATTTTTATCTTTCAGCAATTCTATTTCTCATTCTGGTGTTTAACCAACAAGTTGATTGTTCCCCTTCTACTGAAAATTCATCGGGACAAGATAACAGTAGCTTTACTACGGCATCTCCGAGTATGACAGATTCTAAAATCTCACAGAAAACAACTGTTGACCCATCTGACGAATCCAAAACACAAAATATTGACCTTAAAACAACGACACAACCGTATTCAAGTGTGACAGATTCTAAAATATCGCAGAAAACAACTATGGGCCCATGTGACGAATCCAAAACACAAAATATTGATTTTAAAACAACGGAACAACCGTATTCAACGTCTGACGGAAAAAATGCTGATGCGGATCGTAGTGTTGTGAATACAAATAACGCGAGCTCAAGTGAGAATAGTACTGGCGAAGATAAGAAAGGCATTGATTCTACTATATATCCTACACCGGAAAGACCACATTATACACGCAGTACCGAATCAACTCCTACATCATCAACCGAGTCGACAGCTGAAGAGTTCAAGAGAAATGATTGCGCAGTTCAAGAAGAGCCAAATTTACTAACAATGTTGCTCAATGTCACAGTGGAATACTGCTCTGGAAATTTGTGCCACGCTTTGAATGAACCGGAAGCAAACTGTCAATGTGACGAGGTCTGCTATTTCTACAGAGACTGTTGTTATTCTATGATAGAAAAACTGACACAGTCTAAAGAAACAGGAAGTGACGAAATAGCTGTTCTGATACACCAAAAGGTCCAGGAAGTGGAAAACAGGACACTAATGCTAAGAAAAGACCTAACTGCATGCGTTGAAAATGAATATAATGTGTCTGGTTTTATAATGGTCTGTAAATGTGACGTCATGTCTGCTGCATCAGATGATGTCATTGAAAAATGTGAGACGTCTGTGGATATGTATAGCGTTCACAATATACCCGTGAACCATGTTGTGAATGATGAAGTCGAAGGGACATTTAAGAACGTTTATTGTGCTCTGTGTAATGGCGTGCCCGAAAACGAAACTGTCTTTTGGGAAGTCGATATAACATGTGCGGCAGAAAACGTTGAAGCTATTTCACAAATGGCTATAGAAGAAATCGAAAAGTTAAACGAGTGTACAATGGAACTTAAATCAAGGTTCAAAGGCGATTTAAGAAAGTGTTATATAGGAGAAAATTACATAGACACGTGCGATAAACTTCATAACAATGAAGTGGTAAGTCTTTGTGAAACATATGTTTATCCAGGGACTGATGGGGAAACAAACAAGTGGCCGATTTATAAAAATCCTCACTGTGCCTCGTGCCATGATGAAACTGTGGACGTCGGTAATTTTCATTGTGTTAATTTGTATCTAAGCGATCAAAGAAACAAACCCGGCTTTATTGAGAGGCCTGTTAACTTACAAGTTGTGTTTGATTTTTCTCCTGGCAATGGTCTCGTTTCGAAAGTGAAATGTGTCGATCTTGTAAACTGTAAGTTTTATGAAATATACGATTGCGCTTCGAAACGGTGTCGGCAACTTTACTGTCAGCGAGGGGAAGCGCCTTACGAAGGTAAATGTGTCGTAATTCCTGGCGTCACATCCGGTGGCACAGGGAGCCTAGATGTAGTCACATTCAAACCAAATGACAAATCTTATGATGTAATGAAAGTGAGTGAATCTTACATTTTGGAAATATCGTTAGGAAAAGAGGCCAGTTTAGTTCTCTACGCTATGGGTGAAACTGGTGAAAATATCTTGAAAACCATACAAGACACAATTCAATCTATTTATCAAAAGGAGTTGGAAATAAGCCAAATGCAAGAATGTCCATGTCTGAAAATTACAAATATGACGGAGAAATATGATTTATCAATAGAAATTTTTCAAAGATTGATTTTATATTTTGAACGAATAGAAGCAAACAAAAAACGTGGGTACTCACTTATTCCATCGTATGTAAAAATCAGAAATTTCCATTCATTAGAGAGCCTAGAATGTTCAAATGGGAAATTAATCATCGACAGCAACCCAACTCTTGTAACAGCAAATTCGAGTGTTTCGTCGACAACTATTTCAAACATGTCGTTTTTCCTTCCTGCTTACGGAATTGCAGTATATGAAGAAAATACGTTGTGGGAAATTGGATATAATAACAGTTATGGAGTCGTTCCAAAGGTGGTTGCGACTTGCGACAACAGACCTGACCTGAATTGCTCGATGGTAGCTTACGAGATCAACGAAGTGAAAATTTCAAATACTTCAGTAGAAGTAATTAATACGAGTTTAATATTTCACGAGGATGAATTTGCAATATTTCAAAACAAGGTTTTCATTTGTGCTGACAGAGTTACAGAAACCGAAAGTTTTGTGAATATTTTCATGTTTTCTGCGTATCACAAGGTGTTATCTGTAGTGACGTCAGCAATATCTGCGTTCTCCGCCGCCATTGTGGTTGCTGCTCACTGTTGCTTGAAACGCTTGAGAAATATCCACGGTCTAAACTTGTCAGCCCTTTCTGTATCGACCGCATTGGTGCATCTTCTACTAATATCTGCAGAATTTATCACAAGTGGAACAATTTGTATAGTATACGCTGCTGTTCTCCATTTTATTATCCTAAATGTCTTCGTCTGGATGAACGTCATCGGTTTCGACATGACCTGCAGTCTCACTAGTGACAAACTTGTTTCCCAGTCATCTCCTCACAAAAAATTCCTCGGGTACCTTTTGCTATCCCTCGCTATTCCGACTTTGATCATCACAGTTGCAGTATCGCTGGACTTCACAGATTCGGGATTCAAACCCAACTATGGGTTCAACCATGTATGTTGGTTGTCAAACGGCAAGAGCATCCTTATGTTTGTAATCGCTCCCGTTGTCATTTCGCTTTTGTTGAACTTCGTTCTTTTTACTTTTACTATCAAAGCAATCTATTCCAAAGCTAAGGAATCCAAATTCGCTCGGAATAGATCGTACTTTGTCGTCTATCTGAAACTGAGTCTTATTCTTGGCTTGACATGGGTAGTAGGTATCGTAAGCGCCTTGGCGGAGCAAGAATGGTTGTGGGTCGTACATATTGTTTTGAATGGGCTGCAAGGTCTAAGTCTATTGGTCTGCTCTCTTGTAAATGTAAGAATATTGCGGCAGTTACGTAACTCTATGAAATCGTCCAATGAAAACAGTTATTCTAAGTCAGGTGTAACAGACAACAGCAATATATAGACCCCATATACGAGTATGGTAATAAATACTTAAACTCCAGTCACAACTTTTCGGCTCTTTCCCGCCAAAAGTCGGATAGCGATTATCAATCGGAATACCTCGACTATTATTCATAACTTATCCGAAGTGTGACGGAAATGGCCTAGAAGATGCGATTGAGGGATTGGAGATGTTCCGAATGAATAAAATCGGGAAGATTCTGCATACTTTTCGGGCCTTAAAGAGTCTGTTCGGGCCTTGAGAAAACGTAGGGTCTCAAGAAACCTATAAGTGTCTGTATGATCATTAACAAGTACAATACTATTGTCGCCTCACATTTTTCCAGATAAAAAGTTGAATAATTATTGGATAGATAGAAAATCACTTCTTGCCGATATACATTATTATCAGGGTCGAATTTTTGTTTTGAAAATGAATTCATTATCATGTATTTGAAACATTGTATTGTTTTGGTGTCTTTTTATGATTGGTGTTGTTTTCTTGATTTTCATTTTTATTTCATATCTCTGATAACATATTGTAATTTGAAATACTTTTTTTTCAAAATTAAAATTTTATATTGTACAGTTTTATGTTGTTAATTACATTTAAATAAATCGCATTTGTTTCACACGCACGCACACACAAAAAACAGACCCGACAAAATGGTGATTTTTCAAATTTAACAGTTAAAATAAGGTTTAAAAAAAAAAAAAAATTCCCCCCCCTAACAGAAATAGAAACAAAAGTGGTGTTGAAAAAAAAGGAAATACTCTGCCGAAGTAAAACTGGTTAATTTGCATTTGTTATTTGTCATTACATAAAGATATGTTAGCAATGCTTGCAATGACATAATAATTTCGTGTGGCCATCTTGTAAATATAGAATAAAAGTATAAGCATATTGATGTCTCTGCAAAGTAAACTTACAGGATCGCGAACGTTATTGGTGGATCAGGGTAGTCTCCTTTTTTGACGAAATTAAATTTATAACTTACTAGAAAATGTAAAGGATCTACACGCAGTGTTTTGGGTTAAACAGAATTTAGCTTTTCAACTAGAAAGTTAAAGAACTATCGGAGTATCCTGTACATATTATTTTAGAATAGCCAATAAGATTCCCAGAGTTCAGTTTGTAATTTAAAAATGACCAAAGAATATATTATATTCAGTTCTTCCAGAAGTCAAACTGATTTAGACGGCCTTCGACCGGAATTTCTCCTCTAGATATTTCCTCGATAGAAGCTGTCTTGAATAGAAAGGGAAACAACTTTTGTAGCAGAAAATTACATACTAAACAAAGTTGTCCCTGGTGAAAAAGAAGGGCAACATGAATAGTTTAAAAAAAAAATCTTAAAAACAAGTTAAACAAACGTATTTAGTTAACATATCATTTAGCCAATTTACTAAAACAAACAAAATCAGTGAAGCTGCGAAAGGGACACAACTGTGTCAAAATGCAAGTAAGAGTTGCGAAACGTGACCTTTGTAACCCTTTATGTACATAAAATGTTTCACTTCAATATCTTTTCTGGTTTTAGAGATATTTAAAAAGTTTATTTTTAGGATATGCTCTTGGTTAAAAAAGGAGGGGAATAGCGACTATTCGTCACAAAATACACTCACAAAGACACTAAAGCTTTTCATTTAATTATCTCTGATGACCTTGACCTTGGATAAATTGACCTGAATTATGCTGACAACACCCATGATAGTGAACATTTGTGAAATAATCCTTTAATTCTAATCTCCTTCAAAATTGTCAATTCACGAATTTTCATATTCTAATAATCTAATATAACCTTGAATTCCAATGTTAGATACTAAAAGTTGCATAAAACTTATCTTACCTCACAAAGGGTCATGATTAAATCTATGCCAAGTTCACAAAGGGTCATAACTAAATCTATGTCATTGTTATGAGCTTTGGAAAGTGATCTCCAAATATGAAAGTGAAGACAAATGTGTTAAATTTAAGTGTAAACCCACAGTGGTTTAGAAGACAAAGTTCTCAAAGGGCGACCATTTTGTAGAAATTCATACTAGAGTTACGGGCCAGAAGTTTTAACCTATTCCCTCCAGTAGTTATGGAGATACTAACTTGCAACAAAATCTTAACCAAAGTGTGACGCCGACGCCGACACCAACGCTTGGGTGAGTACATAGCTATCGAATAGTCGAGCTAAAAAGGGAAAGGTTTTTATTTTCAAGTAGGTCGCAAAATATATTTTATGTGGTGGCCTATTCCATACTTATGACATAGAAAAAAGTATATTATACACAGGGCACATTCTACATCGTGTACAACTCATCTCTACAGAATTAACACAGGGGAAACAACTCATGCACTAAACGATATTAATCCCGTTTACATACTGTCCCTTTAACCATAACCGTCGTATAAAGCAGATAGTTGTTATAAAATTTTAATCCATACTTATACGATATGGAAGCAAACTCCATTGTAAAAAAGTAATTGTTTTAACAATGAACAACTTTTTTCTTAAAGACCCAGTATGCCCTAGAAATGCTTTAAATTTTATTTCTCAAAAGCTTTTTATTTTCGGTGTACTTTTATAGTTTCTAAACAGTTACTCATGTCCCCATTACCTTAACTATCTTTTTCCTCTGTCACATTTTGGCAAAATAAGTACAATTATAGTGATTAAATATTTTGTATGGAAGTCAAATACTTCTTTGTTTACATTTTGCTACCTTTGTGACAAATTATTTCACATTAAGTGCTACTTTCTTCAGGTAAAAATCATCTCACATGCCATAAAAACATTAAATCAAATAAAAACTCAAATTACCCCCTGTGTACAGAAGTAAAAAAAAATCGTTTCTGAGGCATAATGTGCCTTTAAGTCTAAAAATTGCTTACTATTTAAAGCAGCACGCCTCCAGAGTGATACTATTTTTCGTGAAAATTTTGAAAATGTATTTAGAAGTAAGATATTGTGAAGTAGCCAAAAGGAAACAATTTACACATTTAAAACAGCACTCACAACCCACGTAAATTACCAAATTGAGGTTAATCTGTTCGAAAATAGCCTTTACTACGTTAGTAACGCAGTAGAAATACATTGTATGGTTGTAAATACTGAAAAATCAATCATTAATTGCACATAACATGTAAATGTTTACTTAAATCTTGAATCTTTTTACATTTCCTCATATCTTAGTATATTTTTCTCATGTTTGATTTTATTGAAATATTTTGGCTCTCCTGGAGGCATGTAGCTTTAAATATCTATGTTATAAAGTCTGTAAATGTTACTTTTTGTGCATGTTACATAAAATTAAAGTTAAAAATTAACCCTTTCCCCGGGGGTTTGGGAAACTAAATTGGGAAAATTTTTTGGGTTTTAAAAAAATCTATTTTTTTTTCGATTGGGGGTAGGAACCTTTTGCCCCTTTTAGCACACTTTCGAAAATTTTTCCCGGAACAAACCCGGGAACTGAAAAAGGATTGTAAAGTTGTAAACGACTTGTCTGGGACGGGGTTTGAACCCATACGGCTAGCGATCGATTACTTGTCCGGGCAAGCCGCCATGATTCTTTGACAATAGTATAGAGCCAGGTCAGGCTGTATACCCTAATGGTTGACAGACTTCAAAATTTTATCTTGATATCTAAATTTTTATTATGGACTCTTCCAAAATTATTAGGTGGACAAATCCATTAAAAGTTGCTGAAGGGTTATGAAACGAAATAGAGAAATAGGAATACCTTGATATACGAATTTGTGGTTCCGGGGATACTTTTACTTGAAGCAGAGTTACCTCCCTGGTTAACACTGGCTCTATTGAAGATTAACAATATTTTAAGCTTCTGTCACATCATATGGTTCGAGTATGTTATGTTGGGGTATGGTATGAGCGAGGAAAAATGTTAAAAAAATCATTCTACTTCACAAAAGTACAGCTTATTCATGTAATATATAACTTTTAAAAAATGGGGCTTTCAATTAAAGACTTTGTAATTATACTTATGTAACTTTAGTACAAGCGTTTTGACAACACGTTGGGGATGTTGACTGTCACTAAAAGACGGTGCACGAAGCCAATAAAACAGGATGCCTTGCTGTTTCTACCTCGACTTGAAGACGTTGGTTTTTTTATTGAATTTCTGAGTTAAACACACAGATTTTGCTATATTGTATACCAAACATTCTAACAGCAAAAACGCAACTTTGACAACATACTATGCTTTCACAATCTTCGGATCTAGTTACTTCCACAGATTTGACAAAGTAACTAAACCCATATCATTTGCTTCATCAAACTAGAGAACTAAAACGCAACGTAAGCGAAAAATAGTTGGATATTATGTAGTCACAATTTGAAACTCTAGTTATTTCCCCTGGCGTTCCTTCAATAAATATATATAAACAATTATTCATATTCTAAATGACGTAGATTTCACTTTATAACCTCTGAAATAGACGTCAATAGCTGGCATCTCATAATTATTCCTAAATTACCCCCTTCCATTTAATTCAGACAGCCAGCTATTATGTTATAGGAGTCCATTTACAGCCGAATTCCGGGGGCATGTTATAAATCAAACAATAGGTCATAATTAATCAAACGATCAAGATTCTGGTAAGTTTATTTCTTCAGCGAGTATAATTCCTTAATAATATAATGTCATTTATGTCCGCATTACATTACCACATCATTCCCTGAACGAGTCTCCAGGGACGACAACTTTCTCAAATCATTTGCTTTAATGATCCGTATATTGATAGACTATCGTGGAAACTAAATCGAGGATAAATGGCTACAATTTGTTACGATTTGCTTTGCTAGCAAACATGTCAATTAAATGCGCATGCAAATCTATTCTTGAAATAAATATCTCGATTATCAATTACAGAAGCGGCCCACAGGAATTGTCTAAAGTCGTTTGTGACATTTATAATGGAATATTCTTGATCTATTTTGTAATTCATACGAAAGTGTGAATATCATGGAAGCCTCCGTAGCGTGTAGAGGAAATCAAAATTGCATTTTCTAGTTATAAGGTCAAAATGTTTCATTTGGCACCGGCAGATCTGAATGTCCCTAAAGTATAAGGAAACAGTCATTTGAACATTATCAGTTAATACTCCTATTTCAGCGTTGATATGAATTTTATCTGGGGAGAATAATGATGTTTTTATGACGTGACAGAAAGCTGCCACATGAAAACTCCATGATCCTTGAGGGAAATGTCTTTAGATTGACCTATTACGA